AATATAAAAATGGCACTGCAGAAACTCTGTAACATCTACTTTAAGATAGCCAGGGAAATATTTTCTAAGCTTCTCTCTGTTAGTCTTCACTTTTATGTGATAGCTACAAACCAACCCTTCTCAAACATTCATCCCCACCACTTCAACATCTACAATGAGTTTGACTTGTTCCTGTCTGCAGCGGGAAGTGTTGCAATCTTCACAATATGATACACAGCTTGATGAATGACTTTCAATGCTCCTTTTTATATGGTATAGCCGACCTGTTAAAAATAGAAACAGACCAAAGCCTTCCTTAAGAGGGATTTCTTTTTCTCCCACCATCAGATGAAGCAGTTCAGACCCATAATTTAACTGTTTGTCTCACTGTAGAGGTGCTCAAAATTTTTTGAAAGGACTTCAGTTACTAAGTCTGCAATTTAGCTTGAAAAGTTTGTTTCTTCCCATTCTTCCTAGTTTTTGAATAAAGAGATAAGGGATAACGCCTGCTTGCCATGGTAGGTACATGAGCTATAATTTGCAATGAAATATCATGAACTGTGCCATACTACAGAAGCTTTAATTAGAGTAATTTAAACACATTGTAACTTACCAGTGATTTTGCATTCAGTATATTTTAAACAGCTGAGCCCTGAAAAAAATGCAGTGATTTGCTCACCACCACATATCAATGGGCTTCTGCAGCTGTGGAATCACACTCAAATCAAGCTTGCACAGGCAGCCAAATTATCCTTCAGGAACCGAAGAAAATCAGAGAATGATATCCCTAGAGACAGCTAAAGAAAAATTAACTGTTAGGTCTCCTATTTGATTTTTGGCTGTTCATACCTGGATGGCAGACTTGAAGGATTCTTAAAAAAAAGCTATTTAGTAGAGTAGTTCCTGGGTACCTCACCTGTAGCCTTGCACACTTGCTCTTCTCTACTGTGGCAGAAGGTAGCTGGCCAGTCAGCACATATAGTCACCCAGGTTTCCCTCTACTAGCCAAAGAAGAACCACTCTCCAAGAGAATATCATATTGTCTCAAGAGTACTGTGAGCATGGATTAAGACCCCAGTCAGTTAGAAAGATACCAAGTACTGGCTGACAGTTTTAAAACAGCTGTTTGTTAAAAGATAATCTCACAAGATACTATTTAAGAAAAGAACAAGCTCAAGGGCTAGAAATCTTTTTTTTTTTTTTTTTTTTTTTTCTTCCTTTCTTCCTTTCCTCCTAGCTCTTTCTTGGCAATTACTTTAGCATTGTGTATATCCCAAGTTTGTTCTATTATGAAGGCCCTTGCCACTTCCAGAAGCTAGAAAATATAAAAGACTCTCATTCCTCATGCAGCTGCTTAAATCACTACCAGCTATGGGTAGGAGACATCTAACTTGATTGCACTTTCATTCATGCTGCACAAGCACTTAGTGGGAAAATATGTAGGGGATTCAGCATCACAGAATGGCTGAGATAGGAAGAGACCTCTGGAGTTCACCTCGTCCAACCACCCTGCTCAAGCAGGGCCACCCAGAGCAGATTGTCCAGGACCACTTCCAGGTAGCTTTTCTGAAGATCTCCAAGGAGGAGACCCAACAACCTCTCTGGGGAGCCTGTGCTTCCTGATGTTCAGAGGGAGACTCTTGTGCTCCAGTCTGTGCCCCTGCCTCTTGTCCTGGTGCTGGGCACCATTGAAAAGAGCCTGGCTCCATCTTCATTGCACTCTCCCTTTACATATGTATAGACATTGCTGAGATCTGCCAAGCCTCCTCTTCTCCAGGCTGAACAGTCCCAGCTCTCTCAACCTCTCCTCAAGGAAAAAATAACTGTTAATCCTCTTTCTCAGCATCAACATCACAATCTCTCCATCATGTCTCATAAGGCACCTCACAAAAACTAGTTCACATTGTACATCTGGTGCAGGGCTATGTCCAGGCTCACATCCAAAACTGCATAGCCTTCACACACAATCCCTAAGCATAGACCACTGAGAACATCCTGCCCTGCGTCTGCTAGGAAAGAAGCAATCATACGCAACTCCAATATACAGCAAAAGCAGGGACTAGTGGATTGCAACTACTTGCCTGTCAGCCATTAGTTATTTTTGCATGCCTGACATGAGGACCCAGATGGGGTCCACCTAAGTTAAGGCACTGTTTTCATCCTGGGTGGGGCCCACAAGAAACTGCTTTGGACAGAAAAACAGCAGCTCAAGCACCAGATGTGCAAAAACCTGAAGATTTCCTTGTGGGGAGCTCAGCCTGTAAACCGAAGATTTTTATACTTCAAAGTTTAGAAAGGTTAACATCCCTGAGATTAAATGTTCACCACAGCGTCTATAAATGGTAGAAAAAGGTATCAAATCTGTAAAGGGCATGCAATTTCCACACAAAAGTGTGGGATTCTTCTGAAAACACTCCATTCAGGAAAGGATTGCTCTGATAACATTTTTAAAAGGCAGCACAATAAAAGAGCTAATCATTATCGGCTCCTGGAGGACACCCTACATAGTTAATTCAAACCTAAAACAGGGAAGAGTAGCAGCACTTTATTGGAACACCACTGCTTTTTTTCAAGACTACCTTTCTGAAAATGTAACTGAGCCAGCTGTTCGAGTGACAGCATTCACAACAAAAAGGATAAGTCTTCAGCAAGTGGAGCAACCCATTTAGATGACCATAAAAATATCTTATTGCTGATCTAGTCCAAAGACAAAAATATGTTTGTGTCATAGGACAAAAGAAGTAAATATATTTATTTATTTCCTTCTGTGGAAACATTTGAAAATTCTAAACTGTTTTGGAGATGAAGATTTGTCACAGGGCAGCTGCTCACTGCCCACCAGACTGTTCCTTTACGACCAAAAGTGCCTCCTGCCCACACAGGAGGCACCGAATTTCATTAGTGTGCTCTGACAGGAGACGCTTTAGCAAGGCTGCGACTGCACTAAGGATAGGTTCACAGATGAACCTTTGCTTGATTCAAATACTCGCTTTATCTACTAAATTCATAGAAAAATAATAACATGCATAAAGCAATAATACTAAGGGAAAGGGAAAAGTAAAGGGAAAGGGAAACTAATATCTGCTGGTATCTCCCACCACATGGATGTATGCAACTCAAACACATGCCATTACAGCTACAACCCATGCACGTGCCCAGGAAGGTGTCAGGATCCCATGAACTGCCCTGACAGGAAAGCAGTGGAGGACATCCTGTTTGGCTCAGGTTACTAGTGGGGATGAGATCCTACTAACCACAGTGCAAATCACAGTTCAATGCAGTTGGCTTCAGTGAGAACCAGCCCTGAAGCTCCCAAGGTGAGTGCAGCAGGAGGGCAGGACGTGCTCCAGGCATGCAGCAGCAGTTCCCCTGCAGCCTGTGGAGAGGCCCCTGGTGGAGCAGCCCATGGGTCCCACATGGAGCAGATCTCCATGCTGCAGCCCCCCCACCCCGTGGAGGAGCAGGTGGATGTGGCCTGGAGGAGGCTGCAGCCCGTGGAGAGGAGCCCATGCAGGAGCAGGCAGTCTAGGGGGAGCTGCTGCCCACCCGTGGGGGACCTGTGCTGGAGCAGTTTGCTCCTGGGGGATGGACCCCATGGTATGGAGCCGTGTGGGAGCAGTTCTTGAAGAGCTGTTGCCCGTGGGCAGCCCCCGCAGGCTCAGTTTGAGAAGGACGGCATCCCATGGGAGGGACCCCACAGGGAGCAGGGGCAGAGCGGGACCCTGAAGGAGCAGTGGAGACCTAGGGCATTAGGGACTGACCACAGCCCCCATTCCCCTACATAGCTCAGGGGGAGAGTGAAGCTAAAAGAGGGTGGATGAGGGGAAGACGCTTTTAGTTTGCTTTTAATCTCATACTGCTCTACTCTGTTCGTAATAGGCAATAAATTATATTAATCTCCCTATGCTGGGCCTGTCTTTTCCCATGATGATAATTGTTGAGTGATCTCCCTGTCCTTATTACAACCCTTGGACCCTTTTCATCATATTTTCTCCTTTTTTAATTTGAGGAGGGAGAGTGAGAGAGCAGTCATGGTGGAGTTCAACTGGTTCCACCCCAATGGGATAAAGAGAAAACCTAGCTCTTGTCTCCCTAAGTCATCTGGGCCCACTGCTACAGATGAACACCTCACTAACTGTATTTACTTAGGAAAAGATAGCCTTGACTTCAGGGTATATTGTGCAGGAAGATTTCAGGATTTTCCTGTTTTACTAGTCAATCCATTTTTCAGTTTACCTTTAGCAAAGCTCAAATAAAATGTTTTCTGTATAATATTTACCAGTACTGTACAAAAATCATATTAGTTATTGTGACCTAATGTGTTGTAATTTATTTTTATTTATTAAAAATATGCAGAGTCCTAATATACTAGAGAGAGAGTATGCAACAAGGATTATTATACAAGATTTGATAGTTCCTGAAAATTAATCTATATTATTCCTTTGAAGCACAATTAGAAAAAGCAACATCTGGTAGTAACAGCAAGTTGTGCAAGGCCGTTATTTACTGCTCCGGCTTTTTTGTCTGCTCAAAAAGAATCATTGCCCAAACACCTACTATTCTGCCTCATCATATAGGCTGCTCAGGGGTACATATTTAATATTAGTAACTTTATTAGTGACAGAATGCCGGAAAAGCCTCAAATCAAATCACTTTTGTTTCCTCCCCTTAAAATACATTAAAGAACTCACTCTCTCTATAAAGCCTTATCACACACATTTTCTTAGCTTGACTTCATTTCTAAATGCCACCAAGAGTCACTTTCCAGTAAATTTCAAAGCACATACAGGACAAAAGGAAAAAAAAGAGAGCATGCTGAAAGAGAAGCTCTTACACAAGTAGGTTGTAACCAGCCGTAGGCATTTATTCATTAACACTTGCCTGAGAGTATCCCAGAGCCTCAGGTGTTCTGAGTAAGAAAACAGGCTAAAGCAGTCAATCTTTTGAGGAAATATTTGGTGTTTCACCTCTATCAGTGTTTGTCCTGCTGCCTTACCAGTTTATCTGATAAGCTTTAACCTGCAGTAACTCAACCTCATTTTTTTTTCTTCTCCTGAATGACCACTTTATTCACCACAGGTGCAGATAGTTCACATTCATGTGAAAGGCTCAGTCATGTGAACTGGCCTTCATATAAAAATCTGTGTCAGGAACCTATTTTTCTCTATAGGTAGCTTATGTTTTATTTAAAGAGCTGAAAAAAGGGTACCTTGTAGGTGTTGCAAGCTGTTTCCTCTATAGGATTCATGTGTAAGGGTCTAGTAACAAGCAGATAAGTAAGCAGCTGGTTAATTTTTACTTCATAACTTGGCTAAAGACTTCTTTAAAGATTTGTAGCTGGTTATGCAAACTTGCTTCACCCAGAAAAATGGTAAGCTTCTTTCTAATTTATTTGAGAAATGGTTAAGGGCAATAGGACACTGTAGATTATGAAAGAGGAGAATGAGAATGGTGTGGTCTGAACTAATATGATATTAGTGAGAGTAAAATGAATCAATTATTGGCAGAAACCCTAATTGCTCAGCATATTTGCATTATGGCTTTTTATTATTGTTCTTTGTTATGCCTTATGATAATGTTTTCATTTTAAGAGAATAGCCCTGAGAGATGCCTTCCTTGAGGTATAAAATGTATTTTAGTGCTGTCCATTAGTACTGTCTTACATAGCAGGAGCTGCAGTCTGCAATGACTCTAGATCATGAATTGTTTATACCGTTTCTTTTTTAAATCCTGTTCTCAGTGTTTTGACTGTCTCTTGCTAAAGTGATTAGGGAACTTAAGAGAAGCAGAATCTATTTGAGTTGAATGTTTTCCCAATGGGGAGGGAGAGGTGATCATAGATCTTCTCTTTCACTAATGTCTGTTCCTGTAGTAAATTGGCTTTAAACACAAAGTTACAGGTTAATGAACATTTGTAGAAACTTGACTGTCCAAGATAACATAACTTAATATGCTGGGATATCTTGATGTTGTCTTTAACAGGCCTTCAAAGACTTAGAGCTTGAGTTTTATAACCCAAATCTAAGGTTGTCACCAACTGGCTATAGAACTAACATACAACCATCACTGGGACTAGTTAATGGTAAAAGCCTCATTGTTTGTAACTTGTGTGTGTTATTTTCGTTTATGCTTTAGCATTTGCTCTCATAATACTTTCCATAGGAGGGGGGGGGAAAAATAAAGCTTTTCTCAGCCTTAAGGTTGTTCTTCAGGGTTAACATCTAATCTTGATAACAACTTCAAGTTGAACTTGGTATTTATTGGAGAAATGCCAAATCAGTAGCTTTGAAGTGTAAATCTCCTGTCTTGTTTGCCCAAGAAGTGTAATGAGTACTGGTAATGCAGGTCTACCTTGCCCCCAGAGTACTTTATAGCATGTCTCAGGGGAAGGTAGCCTGTAGCTGAGAGCATTTCATCACCTCCAGAGTGAAGTCTTGTGGATTAACAGTATTGCTGCTGGATGGAGGAGTGCTGTTTGGGTAAGATATAACAAGAAGAGAAAATCTCTTTGCCTTTGTCCCTCACTGAGCTTTAGCTGCCTGTTTTGCCTTGCAGCCCCAAGAGTGTCTCCATCGGTCTCCTTTTTACCTATGGAATAAGTCTTTCATCCAATCTGCCTCTCTCTCACTTGACTATGCAATAAGTCTGCTGTGACTTTCCTTAGGTTTAGTGACTGTTTAAATAAGAGCATCGTCCTGGGAGATGTCTTAATCTGGGAAGCCAAAAAGGGGATATTAAGAGTGGTAAAATGTTCTAAAGTTGCTTGTTCTGATCTGGTCCTGCAGAGTGGAGTGGTGGGACCTCTGCAGACTGCTAACAGGAATAAGTGTTTGCTGGTCTCTGCAAGGGTGTCTTAAATTTATTTTGGGGTCCTTTTATTTCTGAAAGAAACATATGAATATGGGATGTGAAGGACCTCCACAGTATAGATGAGCCAGTTTATACTGTAGATACATATCAACAGCCTGTATGAGTAAAATTAATGTTTAGGTAATATAAATATGTGTATGCATCCAAATATGCATATGCATCCAAAATAGCGTGTGTGTATATGCGTACAATCTGTAACTGAAAACTCTTGTTGCCATGTCTCAGTTCTGGAAAATGACAGTCTCCCAATCCATAACACTTTTTAGGGCTCCTTCATCCTAACCTTTTTAGGTTTGTAGTTTCTGTATTTCTCATACTGATGTTGCACATAATGGTGTTAGACTGTTGAGATGTTGAACAGACTCTGAAAAGATAAGTTTTATGTAAGACTTAATTCAAACAGATTTATATTCCTGCAACTCTCTTCCGTTTTTCCAAATGTGTTCTCATGAATTTAAATAGATCAAGTACAGTTGATGTCTTGATCTATTTGAATTGCTTCTGAAGCTACTGATCATATGCTTTTGTCTTCTCTATTCTGGTGATGCAGCTCCTTGTTCATTCAGAGCTTGACTTCTGAGGTTCTGGGATTATTCCATGCTTCTAAAGCAGCTCTATAACTGTAGTTCTTAGAAGTAATCAATGTTAGTTCTTTTTTAGCGAAGACTTAATCCACTCCAGGATTTTGATGGAAAGGTTCAATTACCCTTTCTCTTAAACTTGATTGTCAGAAACAAAAGGAATAAAGAAGATGGGACAGTTTCTGTAACTTCTAATGATACACATCACTCTGCAATTAATAGTATTTATAGCATTATGTGGTCTCTCTCTTCTTCATATAGAAAGGTGAATTACTGCCTCTTAAAAATCCATAATAAAGACAAACTAACTTCTGTAAGTAACATTTTTATGGTTCTTTTGAGCAGTCAATTAAGAATATAGTGTCATTTCTCTTTTCAGTGACTGAGCAAAACTCAAAGCACTCTCTGAAGAAAGTATGAATCTACACATGCTGAACGTATATTCTATAAATATGTAGTAATTGCTCGTGTTGTAGCATTAATATTTTCTTTTCATGTGAATGCTTCTGAGTAATATCCTTGTTAGAATTTCTACAGAAACATGCTTGCCACTTCAAAAGTACTTATTTTTTGTTCCCTAGAGTATCTTATCTAGTTTGTAAATTTGCTTTTCTGCAACACTTCCACTATCATCTTGTGCATTGAACTTCATATATGTATCATCATATGTTGAGGTAGAGATGGCTGACCTATGAAAAAAGCCTCCTCCCATCTGACCTGCTATTTGAGTGCACCTGAGAATTCAGTTAAAGAAAACAAGTATTTCCAAGTTGTTTGTGCCATGGCAATTTTTTTTTTTTTAGGTCAGTAAGTATCCACAATAATTCTGTCATGCTGCATGAGCCACAGCATGTATGATTTTTTTTTTTCTTGCATAATATGTAATAAACTATTAATCCTCCCCAGGAGGACTCAATCAAAGCAAGATTTCCTTCATAGATAAGATGTACTATCTTTCAGAATTGTCTTTGAAGACTAACTGCACTGAGATATTGTGATCCCTGTTCAATCTGTCCCTGCTTTACTCAAGTATTGGCAGTAATATGCTTTAATACCTGCCTGATGAGTACTTCAGTTATGCTTATGTCTAGAACTGTAGCAAACAGAAGGATCTCAACGCATTGTACGTGATAATTTGACAGCAGTTTAGGTAACAGAATTATATTTGGTTTGGGTTTGGAGGGACTTTATAGCTCACATAATTTCAGCCCTGCTGCCGTGGGCAGGGACACCTCCTACCAGACCAGGTTGCTCGAAGCCCCCACCCAACCTGGCCTTGAGCACTTCCAGGGATGGGGCATCCACAGCTTCTCTGTGCAACCTGTACCAGTGCCTCACAACTCTCAGAGGAGAGAACTTCCTCCTAATATCTAAGCTAAATCTCCTCTCTTTTAGTTTGAAGCTGTTACCCTTTGTTCTACCACTACACTTCCTGACAAAGTTCCTATTCATCTTTCCTGTAGGCACCCTTTAGGTACTGGAAAGCTTCTACTAGGTCTCCCCAGAGCCTTCTTTCCTCCACATTGAATGACCTGAGCTCTCTCAGCATGCCTTAATAAGAGGGCTGTTCCATTTGATCATCCTTGTGGCATTCCTCCGGACTTGTTCTAATACATTCATGTCCTCCTTATGTTGAAGGTCCCAGAGGTGAATGCAATGCTCCAGGTGGGGCCTCACAAGAGCAAAGCAGAGGTGGAGAATCATATCCCTTGACCTGCTGGCCACAATTCTTTTGATGTATCCCAGGATACAGGTTGGCTTTCTGGGCTGCAAATGCATACTGCCAGCTCAGGTTGAGCTTGTCATCAGCCAACACCCCCAGGTCCTTCTCATGGCTGCTCACAATCCATTCTCTGCTCAGCCTGTATTTGTGCTTGGGATAGCAGGACCTTGCCCTTAATAAGTTGCAGTGAGGGGACACTTGTTAGATGTCTCATTTGGGAATTGATTGTCATTGATATCCATCATGTGAGATGTTTCAGTGCAATGTATTTATAAATATTGGGGAGCAAGGAGGAGAAATGCCTTGCATTCAATGACATCTGCTGCTTCTGAATGTTGGTGAATGGGTGTCTAAATACAGAAATGTCCAAAATTACAGTTGCAATTTGGATGTGTTCTATAATCTATAACTCTGTATTAAGTGCTTTAGTAAAACGTTGTGTGGTACCATACTGAACTTATGTAGCAAGCTCTAACTTCCTTGTGACAACTTGCCAGGAGGTGATTGGAAGGTAACCTTTCCCCCCATCCTGTCACAAGATTCCTTACTAACCCATGTCAAGAAAGTTGTTGCAGATGCTTTGTTTGCTTCTCCCCTGTGTACACTGAGGGACTATTCTCCACCCCACTCCAGTGCATCCTGCTAACAGTTAAAAACAAAAGAAGGCAATACTGCTGTCTTATTTTTGTGAAACTTGCAGTTTAAGTAACAGCTTTAGTCATGATAACTGGAAGTAGATTTTTCTTAACCCTTTTGTTTTTGGTGAAGGAAATAGCTTTTTCTTTGTTTCCCCTCAGACAAAAGGATACAAGCATCGTAATAAGGAGAGTATGACATAAATGTGTTACAATGTGCACTCAGCGGGATGAGAGCAGCAGTTCTTGACTCTCTCTGTTGGGCATACTGCAGTAATGCAGGTGGAAATATGTCCTAAAGAAAAATGAAACGGGGGGGAAAAAAGCATAAGGGAAAATTAATGGGCTTCATCTGCAGTGAACAGAGAAAGGTGCTTAAGGGTAACTTAATTTTATTTATAACCAATAACTATTCTTCAATTTGGGAAGCAAATTACTTTCAACTCAAGAATCATGAACACGTTTTGCTCTGTTTATTTTCCCCTACTATATGTTCACAAGACAGAAAGGTAATGTATAAATTGAACAGCAGTTGCCAGTTCATACCTGCATGATTGTATAA